TCAGCGGCGTCTGCTTCATAGCAGCGAATCTGCGTCGACGATACACCGTCGGCCGGGCCGTTGGTGTAGAAATTGAGCGTCTTGCGCACGTGTTGCCATTCAGGGTAGGTTGTGCCGCCGTAGACGAGGCGACCGAAGGTGTCTGTGGTCAAAGAAGTCAGAGCTACCTTGTATTGTTTTGTGTGCAGCGCTGATTTTGTGCTTTTTGTGAGATGCGTATGATTGACACTCAGACTTACAGTGGGCCTCGCCAGAGGTGACTGCCACAGCGAGAAAAGCGGTTGGCGAAAACTTCATTTTGCTGCTGTACTGGCGACTTCTAGACGTATGACTTTAACTTTATTCTTTCAAACCTTTAGATTGTCTGGAATCCAATCATCTCGATCAAGCTCGGCTGACCGACCAACTCTTAAATAAAGCTGCCATCTCAGTGACTCCCATATCATCACTCTCGATGCTCACATGATGTTAACGAGCGGTCGCTTTCTCGGCCTTCACGAACGCTTTGGAAGAACTCCCAAGAGCTTCTTAATATCAGAGAAGTCTTTCCGGTCACGAGCGAAATATAAGGGTTTATATTCCACGAATCTCCTGTCTCCAGGGTCGAAACCGGAGCGAGGCCTCCGAGAGAAGGTCACAACACGATCCTTGTGCTGCTTCAGGTTGCTACCCGCCAAGATCCAGTGAATTACCGTTCGTCCAATAGGTCCGGGGTAAGCATATTGAACACAATTAAAACTAGACCCAAGTCTGGAAATGGGTTTTTTCTCTCGCCTCGAGTTTACACTTTCTTCCTTCAATCAATATTCGAGTTGTGCTTGGTTAGTATAATGCGAAATAGCATTCATAATACGAACGGAAACATTCATGTTCTCGAGGAGACCAACGGGTCTATCATCTCCGCATCTTATATGTAAGGTACTGACTGCGACCACAAGCAGCCCACTTACAGCATTTTGCATTATGTATTGGTCGGTATGAGAAATGCGGACAGATCTAACAGACAACCTTACCAGCACTCACTAAACACCCCATTGGAACGTCATGCTCAACTCTAATGTTATCAAACATTCATTTGTAAGATCAACCGTATACTGCAATCCTATAGCGGAGACCATACTGCTGGACAAATGAGCTACGTATTGGCAGTGATACGTAATGGAATCCCGCTGTAACAAAGCATCCCACATCGTCCAATTCAAGCAGTTTCTATCTCATATCCGCCTCCATCGAAGACTCCAATTCAGACTCCAGATTAGTGTCAATTCATCTCATGGCTTATGCGGCTCAGCAGCTGAAGCTATTCCTGATGCGGCAGATCTCGTCACAGTTGACGTTGTCAGCATACGGACCCTTGCAATCGCACTCGTTGGCGGGCAGAACGTTGCAGCAGCAGTCCTGTATTATGGGTTAGCGCTAGACTAACACCAAATACTTCACATCAAAACGTTTGTTGCTAAGTGACTTGGACATACCTTTGCAGCTACGCCGCTGATGATGGCGAAGGCAGTGACGAAGATAGTGAACTTCATTTTGAATGTCTGAAATTGACGATGATGATCTTGTTGTTGATTCGCTGGTTGATTTGATGTTTCGAACGGCTTAGACAAGGTGAATTGATTGTGATGGTTGAGAGGTTCTTTTACTAGCTCTTGTCAATTGGAGGAAATGTGATGTTATACACAAATTTCTAGGAGAACTATCATCGACTCTTATTGCTTTAGATTCCGAAAAAAGCTTAATTGTCACTGATAGCAACTGCCTCAAGACGGAGCTGGCATGCAATACGAGTCGTGTGGCAGGTATTTGTGGATGAATTGCACTGCGAACCCATGACTACGTAAATGGAACTGGCCCTGAATAATAATCAACTTTTCAACATTACTTATCGGTGCTCTTGAGCTTCTTGTCTCTTAACTTCCACGAAGTGAAAGTGGACCTCGCATCCTGACTCAGTCCCAGTCACAACTGTACTCTAACTGTTACTATATTCACAAAAGCCGGTGGAAATTCGTTGTGAGCATAGTCCGTCGGGTGAATACAAGAACGTCGACGTAATCAGCCCGATATCATACTGGCAAAATTCCATGAACGGGTCGTGTCTCAACACTGTACGAATTCAGGAATCTGGATTCATCCGGTTTTACTCCGTCCATCATGTCAGCTACACAAACATCTTTGACTCCGTACTGCCTAAGCAATGCAAGTGCTACTTGTAAAGAAAAACTGGTTCATAATAATTCCGTCACAAATGAGTTATGAATTCCGTCACAAATGAGTTATGAATGTGCGATCGGAATCGGTTCCTACCGATCCTACAATCAGCTATCTTCTCTTAATTCTAACACGAGGTTGATTGCAAGGCTTTAATAATACACTTCCTCTGTCTAAAATTTGGGTTACAACAGAGTACTAAGTAATTAGTAGGTATTCATGGGTAACAAGTTTGACTCTACGTATGGAAGAATGATAGGAGACGAATGATGGTGTGAGGGGGATTGCATTCCAATTTAATAAGGTGCCGCATCATCGAGACGATAACATGAAATACTGGGTTAGGAGATTTCCAAAAATGACTCCATGGCTGGTGTGCTACTAGAGGCAAGTACAACGATTCCTTTGTTGTTCCCTAGTTAGTGTAATGTACACTCAATGCCATTACTTCAAAAATTTATTAAAAATGCTGTCCGATGTTCACGTGCGGTTGATGTATCTCTGCGTTGATTTTGAAAATTTCTTGTAGCACCTCTAATTGATGACTCAATCCGTGTATCAACCGACTTCGCCTCGCCGTTTAGGAATGCAAGAATGTGGTCTTATTATACATATAAAAGCGCTCTACGATGGGTATAACTAAGTAGATAGTTACTCAAGTGTTCTGAAAGGAGGCTTAGTATTGATGATTGATTCTTGGACAGGGCAGTTGAATCTAAGTGGAATGACCTTCAACGTTTGGTACCTTTACAACATCTCAGCAGACCATGCTTGCCCAAGTGCATGTAGCATGCAGCGGAAAGACTCGGCGTTCGCTTTTCAGCTTGCTTCAATGTTGCAAGGTGGCTTCAGATTCATCATAAGCGTCTTGGCCAGCTTCCTTTACGGTGTCATGACGAGGCAAAAACTGCTAGGATTGCACCATGAACTAGGGAAGACTTGATCAATGATTATCGCCCCAAGCCTGCCTAATGCACGTGGGAACCGCCAACGTAGCCGTGTGTATGTATTCCAGTTGCCCAAGTACACTGATGTTTCGGAATGGAACCGCGAAATCCCCAGTACCCCGTATAATATCCCAAGCTCTGTGACCTAGAAGATATTACGAGAAGTGTGCTCCCATGAAGGCCAAATCCTCATCTACGTGCTCATCCTTGCTACTCTTCTTGCCCTTCCTCTGGCCAGCCTTATTGGTTTTCGTAGTCTTCGACTTCGATCTGGATGGCGAACCGCAGCGGGCGGTCGTGCTTGATGTCTCCTCGTCCACGGAGAAAGGAGGGGCGGGACTGCGAATTGAAAATTTAGAGATGAGAATGGAATAGCAAAACAAATATTGGCTCCTGGAGACGAAAACTTACGCGGGCTGGTTGTTTTTGCGTGAAGATCCCATGGTTATGTGTAGATTGCGTTTGTAAATCGGATCACTAGGTAGGTGGAATGGCTGGGATATGAGGAGTGGGTAATTGTTGATACGCTCTGAAAATTGCAGATTAAATAAAGTATCCAAGAGTCGATCAGTGGAAGCCACGTGTAGAGAGGATAGACTGGTATCAAGAAGACAAGAGAACCCGAGGGTTTGAACGAGATATTTATCATTCTAGGAACCTCCCAGTCAAGCATTGATAAATTTTAACCTACTTACGAGCTCGGGCACTGCCGCCCTACTAAGCATCGCCCTTTACTCCCACATCAGGCAGACATATCAATGGTAGAGAAGTTGAGCACAGTAAATCTGGGCACATACAGTCCAGATCTGCATCCGTCAGTTGACTTTCACCAGCTCAAGGTCGATGTGGTCTCCATTTTTCCTACCAAAATCGAACGCCATTGGTCATTCCCCTTTTGTAAGTCTCACCATAACATCGCAGGCAGGCCGAAGAGTCAACACGAGATGGGCGAGCAGAATCTTGCGTGTCACAGTCGTCATGAAGGCACGGTGAGCGATGCACTTAAGATTTGGAAACACTGGCATCCTATTGGATCCTCACCTTTTGTGCATGGTGGTCGTTGGAGGGAACGGCTTCCGGCCAGGCCCTGCAGAAACCACACTAGCGTCAGTTTACAAGATGGGTTAATCAACCGGTCTAAGCGCAATGAATGGTGGCATTCTCATTGGCCAGTTGCCTTTTGTTTCGTTCACTTATTCGCTGGCAAGGAATGATAAGGCGGGGCGTCGGTACTCTAAATTGGGCGGGAGACAGAGGAAGGGGCATGACAGCTAAGCATGCAACGTGCAACAGAGCCTCCTTGGAAGCGCGTCTGCCAACGCGCAGGTGAGTAGATATTTGGCGTTCGTTGACTCGGTTGATTGGCCTCTCTCCATTTGTATCGCCCTTCATTGGATGTATGTTGGGGTCGTGGAGGCTTGGCCACCACCGCTACTACTGTGAGGCGTCGTTCATGAAGCCCTGATTGGTGAGTCGCCTTTTGTGAGTTGCACAGACAAGAGACGTGGGATGAAGGGCTGCTTCAGCTGCATACCGGGTTTGTTCAAAACGAGGCATCCGCTGCCTTAAATCTCAAGGCGACCGCTACGAGGTCGGTGGAATAAAACTCCATGGGTCTGCCTCCTCGAAGCGTTTTGATTCCTTCCCCCATACCCATCTTGGTCAATATTCAACACCCCTATCGATCATTTTCTGCCTTCATATATCAATTTGTTGGGTGGTTCCCCTGAACACGTTCTCGAGTCTATCTTGACTTCCTGAACCTGCACCTGGAATTGGTTCGATTTCTTCCTTAAAGGCCCAGATATCATTGTTGCCTCGATTCTCCGTGGCGTAGTAATGGACGCCCCGAGAACTTTTGGCCCGCCCCGGCAGGCTACGTTCCATGACATTCCTTATGAGAAACGATGGGACTACCTCAAGGATATAATCGTCAAGGCCTTTTTGGGAGATGCTACAAGCAGCCCACTGACATTCCCTAAACTTTCCGAGTTCATGAAGAAGCACCATGGCTTTGATGCATCGTGGGTCAACCCCTGTCCTCAGTATAGCCCTGACATAACCTTCTTGATCTAACGTACGCCGCAAACAGACCCACCCAGTATCGCTATCGCCTCTGCCAGTGGAACATCCGAAAAAATACAAAGAAAGTAGAGAAGACTGCGGCGATTACCGCCCTCGGGAAGCGCAATCGTGTCGGAGGCAGCACCTCGGATGTGAAGATTCGACAAGGGGGATCGATGATGCCCATGGACAGCAAACAGGTGAAGCGGTTCATCAATGACAGTATCCGTCACCACTCTGTCCCGTCATTGATCCCTGGCATGTAAGCTTTCATTCCCACCACCATTCCAACAGATCAGAGTCTAACCAGACGGAATTCCAGAGTTTCTCAGTGGAACCTGCCATACATCGCGTACCGTGCCTCGCTCGGGAGGCAAGACGATCAATCGTCTCCGTTCAACTGCAATCCACCGACCCCGCAATATCTCCAAATCAACAGCCCCGAGGCATCTGCCTGTCAAGCTTCGGACATGTCTCCTGGTGTTGCTCTCGTTCGGAGGAAGACCATGCTAGATCGGTCAAGCCTACTTCTACAAGGACGTAGAGAAGAGTTATTGAGTGGATGTAATGTCAATGATAGAAGGCATAGGTTTTCCGCCAATGTTTTTGCTGATGCATAATGCTGATTACTTTACAGAACACTCGCAGATTGGCTGCATGACTACTGGATGTACTGCTTCGTGAGGGCCAAGTTCTGGGGAACCGGCCCTCAAGAATGGACAGCCGGAATGGTCTCGCAGTTCACACTTGGCTCAGTCACGAATGAAACGCCTCTGAACTCCCGCTCGCCTTCCGCAATGATCTCTGGACAATCTTCATCGGGGTCCCGTCGCGTCGAAGCTCCACGACCAACACAGCTATGTCACTGGGCCATTCACCATAGAAATACAGTGCATTACGAGTTTCTACCCTCTTCTCCACGTGTGGAACAAGAAAGTTTTGATCTCGGTGACCAATCGTCTTGGACTGCGTGGACGGATTCTCAGAGATCCCAGTCTTACCAAAACTCCATTCATGAAGCCTTTATCCACAACCGATTCAGTACAACTGCCCCCGAGGAGGTTCCAATAGCTTGTGAGGTCGTTTCAGAGGTCATTTCGACATCTGACATGCCATTGGCATTGGACTCGTTGGCATTTGCCATTATGGCTGGCAACATAGAACTTATCTCAAAAACTCTTTCCGAAATGCGGCTCTCAGCCAAGACTAGGATACTGGACTTCACGGGTATCTACCCATACCATCTTGCGGCATCCTTTCTAGATGGAGGAAGAACCTGTTGTCTTATGCTCCATGAACTTACTATGGAATTGCAAGGCTACCATTATCCAATCGCTCTCAACAACTTGGACTCCAACGAACATACTGTGTTAGACTGTCTTATGATTTCAGTCTTGCGCTCCCACACAAACCTTTCTCCGGCAGAAGTCAGCACAAGTTCCGTTCAATGCACTCGCTTTCCAGGCGAAGAGAAGGATATTTGTGGGCGATGGGATGCCAACTCACCAGAACTACGACAGCTCTACAAATCTGGACAAGCGAAAATCCCGGACTATTGGAAGCACAATTTCTGTCACAGCTCTGTACAGGCCGTGTGCCACAGCATGATGGCAATTCTTTTGCCTTCGTCAAGGCCAAACATCAACATCGTCAGCGGCCTCTTTCGACGACGTTGCACCAGCTGCGGGCTTGAGATGAAACTAGGCCCGCTGCATACTCTTGTGGCTGTCGCTTTCCATCTAGCAGAGAATGGAAAGAGTGGCGAAACGCTGTTTGGGGCACTGGCTTGTCTCGTCTGTCTCCTTGTACTAGGGGCCGACCCCGCTCAAGTTGCAGACTTGTCAGTGCTCGACATATTCTCGTCTCCTGATGAAGAAGTGTGTCTTCATAGACCCATGACTGCCTTAGAACTGGCGGACCAAGTTCCAAGAGCAGTTAGTGAAGCTTGGGGGGCTTCTTCTAAGCTTGGCTGGAAATGCCTCTTGTTGGTTTTGCGCCACACAACTCCGTCCTCGCAGCAACACGAGCAATTCATGAAGTTTAGCTTCAAATCAAATATGTGTTGTCAGTTACACGACGATGAAGACCGAGACGAAATATTAGATGAGAGAGATAGAAGCTCATTACATGATGAGCGGGGTGAGTGCCCGCTGATTGATGCACATGAAGACATCGGGCTTCCCCCTGTTAACCAGAATCTCGGTGTTCTCTGGGCGACAATTCAAACAGAGCTTCTCACTTACCGAAAGGTCAATGTTAATGATGCAGCCATCTCAGATCGCTTTCAACTATCTTCTCTTTTGAGCTGGCTCGAAGGGGGATCAGATACGTTCGAGACGCCTCTGCTGACGAATGGCATAATGAAATCTCACACGCCATGTGGGTGGTTTAATGGACGGGCAAGCCCGTTCGCGGTCACAGCGTCCGATGTGTGTTCAGAATATTTCATGAATATGGACATCTGGTCTCGGGCCTCTTTCATTGAAGAGATGATCATTGATTGAGAGTATGTGTTGGCGCAGGGCTCCTTTACGGAGATGCTACAATAATTGCCACAGACCTGGTTCACTTGTCACCCAATCTAAGTTCTGAGATGGAAAACCTCTTGAGAATGATCGCTGTGGCTCTTGTCGTGTGACTGTACCCAATTGAATAGCACATGCCAGGAAAAGTCGCACCGCAACCGACGCTCACATTTCCCAGCCAGATCGAGGATTGAGCAACGCCGGTCTTATCTGATGTGCTCAAAAGTACAGTTTAGCGGGTCTTGCCGGAAATGCTGCAGAGGATTGCAACGACTAACTATAGGCCCTCTTCAGGTCTGCTTTGGGCGACGACTTTCACTGAACGAGTGACTTTGTATTGCAAGGGAGCAGAACAATTCTAAAGTGCCGTTGTTCACGAATTATGTGTAGATTCCAAGCTTTTCATTAGGTTGCACGTCTACAGGTCCAGCATTCTCACAGAATGATGCTCCATACAACCACTGGGCATATCACCCCCTGCGCCGATGGTGATTTGTGCTGGGTATCGACTCTTCAAGCAAAACAACGTGTACTTATCAGTGAATTAGCTCGACGTTGCTACACATCCACTTCAATAGACAATTTCTGGTAGATTCCTGGTAGAACTGGTACCATGATTCCCGCTCGTTGTTCGTCAGGATTGAATTCATAATCCGGACAGGTGACGAGATCAGCTCCTGTAGTTTCAGAAGACCTCTAGACCCTCTGCTATTCTTTATGCAGTTAAAGTTAGGTTTAGATTGTCCTGATGGTACTAAGGTCCCCCCAGGCTCAAATACCTAGCATGTGAATTTCTTAGATCCTTTACTAATGTACCTTCCTTCTGCACATACTGCATAAGCACTGGCCTTTGCTGGGCGTAGACGATCGTTCAACTATAGGGAGAAAACCGAAACTAGAAGACTAATACAAGAACCAGTAGGTTGTAGAAGACAGATAACAGAAATTGAGAACAAATTTTGACAGATTAGACAATACAGCCAGGGAAAGTATTAGAAAGTGACGAGATAACACAGCTGAAGAAATAATCAACACAGCCGAGGCAGGCTGGGCGAGAGACGCGAGACTCAAGGAGAGGACAAAGTCAAAGGCAAGATACTCCAAGATACTAAGGTAGGTTAACAACAACTTAAAATCTCCTCTTCGCTCAATCGTCTTCCAGCATACAGTCGGTAGTTGTTCGACCGCATCTGCAAAAGAATAACATCACCATTAGTTGCTATTGACGTCTCTGAATTGAGCGCAGCGAACTGGGGACAACACACCTGCAGCCTGTATTGGTGACCAAATCTATCCTTCAAAAGCTCCTGCAGCTTCCTCCTGTCAATATAACGTCCTTCGATCATTTGTTCTTCGCCGTAGATTCGTCTGTACGTAGAGGAGGATGATGTTGACGAAAATCCTGTGCTTCGCCGGCTTGACGCCGGGGAATAGGGATCGATGTCGCTCTGGAAAGAGTACGACCTTGGAGATGGATAGAAAATGGCGGTCAAGTAGTTCATTCTCGGGGATGCACCTGTTTGCGATAGCTGCTCGTTAAAGATGCGGTCTCAGCCTCTCAGTGTCAGCAGATATAATAGTGTTGTGTGGTGTCGGGCAGGCTCTTGCGCTAGGCTATTCCTGATGATGTGGACATGGCCAGATTCTTGAATAGTTTGGGGGTGGCTAAATGTCCTGTTAAATTATTGTTTCTTATTGCTGCACGTCAGTCTCACTCCCGAGTCTGAAGCGAGCCCCAGACTGCCTTGAACATGGCCTGAACAGGGAGCTGGGCAATGCTGCGCATTGCATCGTCCTCGGAAGAAGAGATCAGCTTGACCATCTCGTCGATCAATGATATCAAGCCTTTCAATTTTGCAAGCGCATGTCCGAAAAGGTGATGCGACCTGAAGAATGTATAAGCTAAGTATCTGGACAATTTCGCAAGACTGACAATGAGGGGTAGTTGATGCACAAGTGAAAATGCAGGTTTCTCCTCGGCCTGGGCGTTCTTTGACGCGAGTATTTAGATAAGAGAGGACGCTGGTACAAAGTGATGTGGTGTGGTGAAGCAGGCTGTGGGCTTCGCTCGGATGTGCACTATTGGTGTTGAAAGGTACTGATTGGGCGAATGCCGGACATCCAGCACGCCAGCCCACACCGGGTTACGTCGGTTAGCACCAAGAAGCCTTCCTAGGTGGTGGTCCAATCTCACCGGGGCTTGCGAAATGTTGGTCGCACGCGGATGCTGCACCGGATGAGGGAGTTTGGAACTTGGGAGCTGAGATGGCATAGTGCCCCTCACTTTTAATCTTTTTCTCCCGATTTCATACTGCGGTGAAGCTCTAGGCCGCAGCCTGATGTTGCCGCATGTGCTCAGGAGGCGATGCATGTCAGCGAAACATGACTCTGCCTGAGTCTTCTAACTCCAAGCCATCTATCTGCCTGGAGCCTGCAGTCAGGGTTGCCTCACCGACCGCCAAATCGCCGGCTCTCAAAAGAACACTTCTTTCCACTTTCTACTTCATCAACATAACTTGAAGTCAGACTCCATTCCTGTGTCCAATCAGCCGCATATTAACCCAGAGACTTCCGACAATCATACCAATAATCATCACAACATAAAGTACCAAGCATGGATCGGGGTCCGAGCAAATCAACCGTAAGTAGTGACTAGCTCATAAACCCTATGTTTGTTGATTCGACGAAGAGCATCGGGCAGCAGTGCCAACCTCGGGGATTGATATGCCGCATGTTTCGTAGTGCATCCACTGCATATGCATCATCCAACTTACATGCTGCGAGATGTTGTGTGTTGGCAGAGTTCGCGCGCTAACCATCTCTTCACGCAGATGCCGAGATTTGCCTCGAATGCCGACTGCCAATGCGACCTACAACGATGCCGCCATTGTGTTGGGGCTACCCGAGACGAGATTAGTCGCACACTACTTCGAATATCGCAAAAAGACGTCAACGATAGCCGAAATCGCTTTATACCACGACGCTGGTTAATTTCCGAGATCAACTACAACGATGTGTTGAGATGGCTATCAACATGTTTGCCATCTAGTATGGATGTGACAAGCCTTGAGGACATCGCTAGTCAGATCAGTCCAGTAGGCGAAAGTTGTTCCCGATGTGGAAGCTTCTTATGCACCGGACTTAGAATCATATTCGCATGTTTGGTGTTGCTAGGAAGGGAAAGCTACATTGTTCCTATACAAAGATCTCAACACAACATCTGTGACAGCACGTGGCCACTTGACGGCTCGACCGCTGAAAGTCCAGCTGCTTCAGACCTTCTGAAAATCCTGACCTCCCTCGAAGGTAATGAGGAGGAGCTTTTCATCCACTTGCAGTGGCAGATGAGATCCCCTTATTTCCCGAGTTTAATGCCGACTTCTCCCGACTTTGGTCATTTTATTATCCATGACCAAGTAAGTCTACCCTGGACAACAACCGTGGAAGAGGAAGGAAAGATGGGTGGTAAGTTATCATCTGTGCACAAGATCGGTATCCACGCAGATCATTGTGAGTTTGTAAGTAACGGCTTGGCCTTCCCATGCGCATCTCGTGCATTTCTACCTTCACATCTTTAACACCATTGAAACCAACAGGAAGCGGAAGGAAAATCGTTTGCGTTGAAAATACTCGAAAGGGGCAAGGTACTTACGGCTGCCGAGAATGAGTTCAAGAATGAAATGGCAGCTAATCAGCGAGCCACGCATCCACGAATTACTCCTCTTCTTGCAGCCTTCAAACATAGGAATAAGTTCTATCTCTTGTTTCCCTGGGCAAACGGGGGTAATCTTCAGCGTTTATGGAAGACCTACGACCCTTACCCAGGTCTCGGGCGTGTAGTAGCTTCCTGGTTTTCACTGAAGTGGATGGCAGATCAGTGTTACAAGATTGCCGATGCCTTGTCTACCGTTCATGGTCACCCATCGAATGAAGGAGGCGTTTCTGTTCAGGCACAGCTCCATCACGATATCAAGCCAGAAAATATTCTGTGCTTTGATGATTTCAATGATGGAATTGCGACTTTTACGCTCAAGTTAACAGACTTCGGTCTGTCACTACCCGCCAATAGCCAATCCACCTTCCGACCAAAGCAAATTGCCGAGACGAAATCCTACAGGCCTCCCGAAAGAGATATTGAGGACTCAACTGTAGGTCAGAAATGGGATATCTGGTGTTTGGGGTGTCTTTATCTCGATTTCATTACCTGGGCCATCTTTGGCTGGTCAGGGGTACAAGAATTCGAAGAAGCACGCCTTGAAGCTGATGAAACCGAAACTGGAGGTTACGTCATTGAAGAGGATGTCTTCTTTGTCAAAGAAAGAGTCACTAGGCGTAGCTGGTGTCTAGGAAGGGCAATAAGCAGCATGGTTGCAAAAATCAAGCCAGCCGTTATTTCGGTGAGTGACTTACATAGAGGTCATCAACGACCGCAGGCCATATCAGGCTCAAGTATCCTTCACACATGAGGCTTACTAAAGGTTGGCAAAGCATATGCGAGATCTTCGAGGTCATATGGAACCGGGTCATGCTTTAGCGGAGCTCCTGGATTACATCGAACAGAAGATGTTGGTCATCGATAGCTGTGGACGAGATTCATCAAGTGAAGTTCGCGACTTCTTGCAGGTATGGATGAATTCTATTAGTTAGACTTTGAACTTAGGATTCCAATGTCAGCTCGTTATTTGCGGAAAATGAAGAGACATTAAATGCATACTAGGCTTGTAGCCATTTCAATATTGAAACAGCGGTCAAATGGCATGGAAGAAAAGTCTTGATTGGTGAAGCCTGGTGGAAACCCACTACCATGGCTTTTAGTTTTGAGTCGTGGGACTCTTTGACAAAGAAAGCTATCTAACTGACGATGAGACAACTGCGATAGAATGAATCAGTCCAGCGCCGCCATGGCTCTTTTTTCAGCTTCCTCCTCAAACTCGGTCATGATTTCCTCTTTCTCTTCCTGATCTGGTCAGTTGTCTGCCCTTTATAGTACCTTGAAACTTACAGCTGTCAGACGCCTGGAAAGCTGCACTTCGAATCCCTTCGCTTTGGTAGCCTGCGTGACCAGTTAACATACATGCATACATCCGCAGTAAGGCAAACCCGGTCAGTGCTAACGTACCCTTATCTTGATTGTATTCTCGGTAAACTTGAATTTGACAAGCATCCGCTTCAAAACATCGGCATCGGCATAGCGGTGGGTTATGGTGTCAGTCGCTCGGAACTCTTCGGGTTTAGACATGGTTTGACGCTTTCGGAACAAAAGAGGGACCGAATTTTTGAGTCTTGTGATAAGAGACTGCCTGTCGTTGACATCCATGGAGGGCAATTCTGGGCGGTCGAGGGTCAAATATAAACCGCTTTGCTTAAGATGAGTAGGTTGAAAGAGGCTACAAGATGTTATACCTCTCAAGCAAAAGTGTTGTCCGTCTCTGAGTCTCTACCATGGGCCGAACTTCATTCTGTCAGATTCTAGGCCCGAAATGTGTAGTTATGTGCTGACAGAGCCATCCCAAGGAAAATAATTGCACAAGTTTGTGGCTGTGTGATTGAGGCATCCGCGAGGCGAACTGCTGCCTTGTGCTGGCTGTTCGGTTCTCAACACCGAGGCGAAGGCGTTGGCCCTGAGCCCTATCAGCAGGATAAATGACGAGATGATCAGCACCGATCTCAAGAACAGCAGTGGCTTAGTAGCAGGCTATAGTGCATCAAGATGGTTGTCCTGACTTTCGGTATAATATGCTCAGTGCGTCGATTGGTCAGAGATATGGTGGTGGTGTGCTCAGGTAGAAAAGATGTACCGTTACCTAACCCCCTACGGAGTGTGTTCTGGAGTGGATGCCTTCTGCTGGCAGATTGTTGGACTGGCTTGCATTGCATCTGCCGTCAGCAGCGCCATGCTTGCAAGTAGTCAGGCTAGGTGTCAATGGGCTTGTCGTTTCGCGCGGGGACCTCCAAGAGGGAACATGGCCTGATAGGCTCACTCACCACGGGTATCTCACAATGCACTTTGGATCAAGTAGGAATTGCCATTAATGTATAATCCCGCAGCGGCCCCAAAGTTGAAGAACCTTGGGCTTGGTGTTGTCGTTCATCCTAAGAAACATCATGGAATCTCTAAACCAGGAAGTAAACTTCCGTGAGACTGATTTGGAGCATTTTCCATTCACTCCTGGCAGTTCGTTTCATGTTGTGCGTTTACAAGAAACCTCAGGTGTGAGTTCGCCTCATGATTGTTGGTCAAAACAACCCCAACTGATGCACGAACAGACCCCAGACACCCAACTCACCTACGAGGTCCCAAACTATGAATCCGGGGATATCTTTCTCAGGTCGCTGGGGTCGGTAAGGCCACTTTCATATCTCCAGGATTCAAATGTGTACGAAGTTTCATGTGTTTAATAGGTCTCCGCACCTCAGCTATGTGTGCAAGAACCAGGCTTGCTTCTCGTCATGCACTCAAGGCACAAACCAGTCTTCGGAAAACCCGTCAATATAATGGCGGTGCCATACGAGCAAGGGACATTCCGTAGAATACTCGAGCGTCTATATCAACATCGATCCCTCGCCTTCTTGCACGGCAGGACCTCCACTGCTGTGTTCAACATAAGACCGGTGACAATGAACTCTGGTGGCTCAGAGAACTCAGCAATCGGTATGTGAAATTTTTGATTCGCCTATTTGGAAGAGACCATCATATGAATAAGCTCTCGACGTGTGGATCAAGTTGCAAGAGAGTGTTATTAACCTAACGAGGGTGATTAGTGTACAACTGCAAGTCCGACACAGCATCACCAGCCAAACCAGACGACGTAGCTATGTCCGTAACACATCTTCCGAGCCAACGGATGACATACGCAATGATGTATGGGTGTACTCCTCAAGTCATCAAGCTTGTTTCAGCATGGCTCAAGGTATTCAAGGGACAGGCTCTCCATCCCTTGATCATGCCACTAGTATTCGCGGAGCTCGAACGTAAACGTCTCTTCAATGTCCTAGACCGTGAGCAGATGGAACTTAGGCAGTGGATTCTCACTCTTGAAGACAAGCTTCGTCTAGAATCGGAGCTCCCTAAGCCGGATACGGAAGAAGTGGAGCTTGTAGCCCAGAGCAGAGACACCCAGTCAACGAAATTATGGCTCGATGTCAGTATTCTCAAGAACGGACTGGAAAGCCTTCACGATCAGCTCGTGAAAATGATTGAGCACTCCGAAATTCTGGCAACAACAGTCTTCAAACAACCAGCCCACGGCAGTCAAGATGTCGATCACCACACTGAGGAGCGTAAGACAGGTGAAAGAATCAAAACTAGATTGTCCGAGATGATCGCGGAGTTTGACAGTAAAGTAAGAACTTGCGATAGTCTACTTGGAGGAATGGCGCTGGCGGCACAGATGGTGAGTGACTGGTTGCATATCCTATGATGCTAGTACGGAGAGAGACAATGCATGTTCTTCTTGGATGGCTGACAGATCATTTAGGAGTCGAATTACTACACCAGGCGAGACGCTAAAGTTGCGATTGCTATCGCTTTCGCCACAAAGAAAGATGGCAGTCAAATGAAGAGTATTTCGCACTTGGGAATGATCTTCTTGCCGGGCACCTTTCTTGCTGTAAGCCATGACATCGGTGTTTGCTTCTCGATGGGAGCAAAATCTGAAAACGACAAAGCTAACGTGAGGCTAGAGTATTTTTTCGATGTCGTTCTTCAACTGGACGCCCCCTGATAGCTCTCAAATCATCTCACCCTGGGTGGCCATTTATTTTGCAATGGCGCTCGTCGTCACCGTGCTTACCGTCTGGAGAATGAGAGAATGGATGAAGAAAGAGGAATTAAGGGCGATGAAACAGTTCTTGAAGGACATCGGCGATGTTGAATCGCAGCCTACACGCGATTTATGATTCCAGATAATCATGGGAATATTCATGATCACTCTCATCGTTCACCGAAGTTTCTTCAGTCTCCACGTCAATATACCCTAAAAACTGAGAATCATGCCGAACTTCAAGTCAGTAATACAAGATATTCAAATGCCTGAGTAATATTCCTTGCGTCTGTTACTCGAGGTTCAAGGGATACCGTCCAAACTTGGTGCGAAAATCCCAGCGACTCCTTGTTGCTCATTCTAGTTTCACGAGAAAAGCTCGACCTTGATGGAGCCGCTCAATCATTGTATCAGTCCTTTGGTGAGCATTGACTTCTGGAAACAATACCAAGCGAGAATTCTCCCAGTTATCCAATATCGCGCCACAGATATCCCAGAAGCCCGGCAGCCCGGGTTCCCCGCATGACCCCGCCTCCGCATCGTCAACCGCCAACCGAACAACATCGTGCAAACTTAGTCATGAACGTGGAGATCTCCAGACCTATTGGTCCATCCTCCTTCATGATTCGTGCAAAATCCACCCGGTCGAACGGGAACGATGTAACTCCAATGCTGGCCCCAAGACATTCGGCGCGAGAGTTCGTTGCGACGGAGTAGATACGACGCTGATGTCGCGGAGATTCGGCCGGGAAAAGCCCGATTTGACGATGCTAGGAAACTATTCAATCCTCGGGCACCGTCGCGGTTTGCCGGTGGGAGGTAGCGCTAGGGTCTTCTGTCTTTCAGCTGATGTTCTGAGCCAATCCTGTCGTTCATCGCTTTCTCAACCGTCAGCCACTGGACCCCTTGTTCTCAGCCCAGCTCAAAGGACCTGTTACACGTTGTTTGAACATGCGCGATACCTGGGCTGTTGGCGTGCTTTGCACTCTACTTGCTTCAGCCTCCAAGGTCTGTGCCCAGGAGACTGAAGACGCCGCTGGACGCAAGACTTGTGTTGTCAAGGCCAGCGGAACCAACACGACCGACGACGCGCCTGCTATACTCGAGGCATTCACGCAGTGCGGCCGGCGCGGCAAGGTCGTGTTCGAGCCAACGACATACTATGTTAACTCCGCTTTGAACGTCACTTGGCTGGACGACGTCGAGATTGATCTTCAGGGAACTCTGCTGGTACGTTACCGTTCCATGGCAGGCTTGTCGCCCCCCTTCCCGATCTTGGTTCAATCTGAGTGATGCGCCAAGCCAAACAATACCAAGACTTTCGTTTTATGGCGATCAGCTAACGTGAGACTACCGGTTGTTAGTGGAGTACGAACATCTCGTACTGGCTTGCCAACTCGCTGGACGTGGGGTATCAGAATCAGTCCACTGCATTCATCCTCGGCGGCAACAATGTTCGTCTCAACGGCCATGGGCAAGGCACTTTCGATGGTAACGGCGACTACTGGTATGAGTGGATCAGACAGCAGGCCAACACTTCCAACTACCCTGGTCGTCCGCATGCTCTCACTCTCAACGGGTTGAGAAACTCTGTTGTAAAGGGGGTAAACTTCTTGAGAAGTCAGATGTGGTAAGTATATGTTTCCATACCTTAGTATAAGATAGAACGTCACTCATTCTGGCAGGACCTTGTCCATAATCTACTCTCACAACGTTGTCCTCGATAGTATCTTGGTCAACAATACCGGAAACCGATTCCAAAGCTGTACGTCTAGGACAAATTGCTTTAGACTCTGCCTTTGGCAAGAGAATGAGTCTCGCTGACTTCGCATAGCGAACACGGACGGAGCCGACACGATCCGGTCCTCCGGCATCAAGTTCAATAACTGGACTGTCTACAGCGGCGACGATAGCATCTCTCTCAAGGCAAACAGCACTGATGTCAGCATTACAAACTCCAAGTTCTACAATGGCTTAGGCATTGCGCTTGGTAGCATTGGACAATACAACGACCAGTTTGAGACCATCGAGAGGCTGAAAGTCGAGAATTGCTTCTTTGACAACACGTTGCATGCCGTTAGTCCTCCTCGCCCTTCTCTTTCAGATCCATGAGAGCCCGTCAGTGCTAACGATGTCCTCAGGTCTACTTCAAAACTTGGACGGATAATCAGAACGGCTACCCTCCCAATGGCGGCGGCGGTGGGCTTGGTTGTAAGTCTGAAGCTGTGAACACGCAGTAACACTCCTGGTGAGGATTTCTCTAACGACCTTGACTCTGCAGTTGCGTCGGATATGTCTTTCAAGAACCTCACTGTTCAGGGCATGCGCGGTGCTGCATTTGCAATCTCCCAGTGCACCCGTTTCCGCGGCGCACCTGGAGTGGGCAACTGCACCAACTCGCAATTCCAGATTCGTGACATCACCCTCAATGGCATGGTCGGCACGACCAAGTCATCCCGCGTTGCCAGTCTCCAATGCAGTGCTGTTGCACCCTGCACCAACATCGGTCTCTTCGATATCGACCTGGAGTTTGCCAACGGGACTGCTGCCACTTCATACCTTTGCGGAAATGCTGTGAACCCGCAGGGCTTCAATTGTACTGGGACTCCTTGTGTTGGAGGAAGCGCAACGGGTGAATGTTGAGCGAGGATCTCCGAGACTCATGATCATGGAGGGCAGGTGATATTCTGGTCGATATTATGTGTCAGAGCCGACGTGTTGTTCCGGCGGTTCCGGAGAAGCCGAGGTTGGGTGCCAAAGCCTTGCGCAACAATGCCTCATTCGAATGGCAACTGCGGGTACAGAAATGCAAAATCTTTGATCGATTGGGTCGTTTGTTTTCTTTCAGTGACCAGAATTTGCCTTCTTCATTCGACCATCAAGCTTCGTGACATCCGAATGCGAGACAAATTAACAAGCAATCAATTTGTATCGGCTTGCCTCTGTTCGTTACGAGCTATCCACTTTGATGTCCGACTTCCTCAACGGGTTGTTTGGAAATTGTCCGTAAACATTCCTGCTTGGGCGCGAAAGCGGGAACCATTCGCAGTGTCGGTGAAGCTTCATGGCAAGTCGTTCAGCGACTACTCTATCCGTATGCCCAAATGAAATGACTCATGCGAGACCGTGGCGTCTCGGCCCGTAACTATCGCGAGCTTTGATCAGCTCACTGATCCTCGCCAAGCAGATGTTCCCTTGTTGTGGTCTGGAAACAGAGTTTCAATTTACAAAGCTTGGCACATTGCGTATGTCGAAATAAGCGCATCACAGCCCACAACTGCCCGAAACTCTGACTCAAGCGTCTACCTATAGTTAAAGTAGACTTTGGGACCGTTTGTCTGCTCGACACAGGGGACCTGGGCTGATGAAAGGACGCCCATGTCTGCGGAACGCGGAGCTGCGAACCTAGAGTCGTAGGGCTGCTTGCTGAGCAAAGGTAATTCAAGGCTCATGGGAGTACGCAATCTCATCAGTCTAGATCTTGGCGCTAGGCAAGTTGTGGTTTCTTAAGCCGGATCCCACATCCCGCGACGTCTTGTCTTGACTCCTGTAGATGAACTCGTATTGCAAGAGACATGGACTAAGTGAGATGGGGTTCTTCAATCTAGAACGATTGAGAGATTTGTTTCCGAGGTGTCAGTTTCCGCCGCAGTAAGGTCAAGGTATCTCTTCACTTTCTGAGGGTCGCGTGGCCAGGCAACATGGGTGCGCATATTGTAGTAATTATATGGCTTATTCAAACACTCTGAAAGGGTCTTAGCCATGCACATGTTTTCTGTATGAAAAGACTGTAGAGATTTTGTATCGTTGCATTCCCGATCTTGCTTATCATCCATCCGAATTGTCTCCCCTTCCACCTTCTTACTTTCCTTTAGACCAAGTGACCAACGCGACCGGACGAGATACCTCTGATTTGAGGGCTGCCGATCAATGGAAAAAGGAGATTTCCATCAATGAGTTGCAGGCTCCACAACATCCATCGCATCCAGAAGGGGGCTTGGCGCGATGCCAAGACACGGGATATGTTGAATGTTGTTTCTTCGCGGGCAAGTTGAGCCAATCTGCTCTCAAAGACTCTCAACGGCGCGGTGAGACTTGGCAAGGGGTTGCAGTGCCAAGAGCCTCAAATGGCCTTAGTGTCGACGCGCTTTGCTTGTCTCGAAGCTCTTGGCATCGTCCGTCCAATTTCCATTATTATTTTTTCCATCGCAAATGCCCCTCTTCTCAATGTTCTGGCCGCATTTTTGTTCAATCTTGTGACACTTGACGGAGAAAAGCCCCGGATTCATACTGCAGTACCGGAGTACGTTCTAAGATCTACCGAGACAAATGCCTTCCCCAGTTGTCAGTGTCAGTGGTCACGGTTCACCAGTACCACTAAGCCCCCCGGCTCCACGTCTGCGGGATTAGTCACGGTAGTCGAAGTGATGCGCGGTCTTTTTTCCCCTAAACGCCAGTGGCCCTGCATGTGCGCAAGTAAGCTACTGTTTAGGCTTAAATTTCAGCTGCAGGTTGGGGATATTCTGCTCGCCTCTTTGATCCGAATGTCACTCCAACCGCGATGATATCAGATAACCTCAGATAACCGTCAGGATTCTACTCGCCTACCTGCCGCTTCTGATAGTGTCTGCCACACACTGGGAAGCGTTTCCTCATGGGGAACGTTGCCGGCTTACACCACCCTTTCGGCTCCTTTCTCTTAGTGATGCGCCGCGTTGCGTGATGTTCTCCCATCTCGAATCTGTCTCGGTATCTCTGGTAGGGTACCCAAAGATGACTAGCACAGGAAGGCACCCCGGTTTTGACCCTCTTAGTAGTGGTTCGGCCGTGGAGCTCGGGGCATCCATCGGAAAGGCCTAGATGCCCAGATTGGAGAAACAAACCCCCAGGGCGCCGTCTCTCTGCACCCACAATCTTAAACACCGACTTCCTAGAGAAGAGACGACCATCGCCTACGTTTCCTAGCCAGGAAGCAGCTCTTGCCTTCTCCACCCCCGATGAGACTCACACGTATGTAAAAGGGGGCTGTGCTTGAAGACATCCCCCTTACCTGCCCGTATTGAGTAGATTATCTGCCAAGTCCTACCAGGCCAGCAAGTGCGTACAAGATACTCTCTCATTGGCTTCATCAGGCTGTTTGTCGTCGGGATCCGCAAGCCACGAGGCCAGTCACCACAGACCACTATCGCCCCCAATAGGTCCAAGACCTTTGATGTCCCAAGTTGTCTAAGAGAGAACAGATGAAGTTAGGCACGGCCGTAGTGCCTCCACCCACAATAGACTATCTGGAGCCTTTCACTACCGGGACTAGGTTGACGGCTCTCATCCCACAACGTGCCAATTGGTGGGTTATGGGCATCGGTACATGAGAAGCATGGATGCTTGGGTGAGCAGCGCGGCCGCCACCCACGTACTCGGGCGAGGATCCGTTGACGGCGTACCAGAGTTGATTGCTTTTGTGGTATACCGGTACCAACGTCTGATATTTCCACCAAGGAGATTCTTGGTTACTTGGCTCTCATAATTGAAGGTGGAGATATCAGACGGTTGCTAGTGAGTTGGTGTTGTCCGATCTGGACTCTACGATCAATGTGAAACTTCTCCTCCGCGATGGAATCTTGGAATGTCTCCTTCGTGAAATTGACATGATATTCAGGAGACGACTCGGAACAACATAAATACTCTAAGAAGATCCTCACAGTTCTTTCCTACCCTTCTCTCTTCACCACGCTCACTCAGGACATCACCCAACAGTCTCTCAGTTTTTTCAGCCCAGCTTCTCTCAGCAAAGCCAACTTCATCCCTCAAAATGCAGACCAAGGTTTTCGTCTCCGCCCTCCTGGCTGGCATGGCCACCGCCCAGACTCTCAACATTCCCACTCGCAGCGGTTCCATCGTCTCTCTCTCCGCACCCTCCACGATCTCGGGCTCCAAGGACTACGCCAACAAGGAGTTCGACCGTGGCCGTGCCTGCGACACTGACGCCGACACTGGCAGTGACTCCGCCGTCTTCATTCTCGAGAACGGCGCCACCCTGAGCAACGTCATTATTGGCGCCAACCAGCTCGAGGGCGTCCACTGCAAGGGTGCCTGCACTCTCAAGAACGTCTGGTTCCGTGACGTCTGCGAGGGTATGTTCACTCCTATGTTCTGCTTCGAACCCTTCAAGACATGCTTATTAACCCCTATTTACAGATGCAATCTCCGCTCTTGGCACCGGTGATGTCCTCATCCAGGGCGGTGGCGCCCAGAACGCCGTCGACAAGGTCGTCCAGCACAACGGCCGCGGCACCGTCACCATCGACGGCTTCACCGTCGTCACCGCCGGCAAGCTCTACCGCGGCTGCGGCGACTGCACCAACAACGGCGGCCCCCGCAACGTCATCGTCAAGAACGTCAAGGCCAAGAGCGTCAAGGAGCTCGTCGGCATCAACTCCAACTACGGCGACGTCGCCACCATCTCCAACACTTGCGGCTCCAGCGTCTCCAAGGTCTGCCAGGAGTACAAGGGTGTCTCCAAGGGCAGCGGCGAGAGCTCCAAGGTCAGCACCACCGCCAACTGCAAGGGCCAGACTTCTTTGTCTGCTTGCTAAGCGAGTCTTTGTTGGTGCCATCCTGTCTTTTCATGTTTGAGCGTGGAGTTTCAGGGAAAATATCCCATTGAGCGTATATTTGCTTCTTTACTCTGTGTCGCTGAGTACTACATCAGTCTGTGACCGGACAACTTCTCTGTAAATAGTAGCTCGGCCTCATCAGCCTATACATATTGCTGCATCGACAAGCTTTCCTCATGACCTGTGCCCTTCGATTCCTTACTTGACCTGCTCTTGATTATATCCTGGCTGACGCCATGCTGAAGCCTCTGGTCGGATTGTGCACTATGACCAAATTTCAAGCGGTCTGTTTCTCTCCGTCGAGCTGCTCTCCGATCTTTGCTTTCAAGGAATATTGGCATTCTTAAACTCTGCTTGGATTTACATCTCTGTCCAGAGATCCAAACCCAATTTCACGGATTCACTTTTCCTAGAACTTAGCCTTTCCCGGTATTCTCTTCACCACCTGCTACAATGCGCAGGAGGAGTTCGGGTGTATATGGGCAGCAAAAATAATGGGCAGCATCCAAGGCTGGAATATATCGGTCATCCCAACCAATGCCAATTTGGGCCCGTCAAGCTCGGCTTCATCTCAGTAGCTCTGAACTGAATAACCACCAGGTCATTCTTTCAATCGCTTTGACAAGTAAGCCTCGGGCCAAAGAAGTATTCTTACAAGTCTCAGTCAAAGCTCCCCAATCTTCGACGTCTACTCCTGTTCGGTCCCACGTTGTCATTGGTGCCTTCCTTCCGTTCCAGCTGCGGCATGAAGACTACGACATTCTGTCTAATTATTTGCCTCAACATTCCGGATGATTTTCTTTCTTTAAGTAATTCATGCTGATAACACACCATCGGGTTTGCCAACGCGAATGATAGTACCAAAGTCAGAACCTGATAGGACATATTTCTTCCAATTTCCTCTTGGAACAATGGTGGTCAAGAATAATCTGCTTGAGGCATTGTGCCGTGCTAGTAGCACCCGAAGCGCATATTCACAGGAGTCACCGTCAGAGTTTTCTTTTTGCCAGACAAATCCCAAGGCATGTTCGATGTCCTCTATCCAGCCACACGGAATGTTGTCCACGTACAGCCTCTCCACGACAAGCCTGAGGCCGGATTTCGGCAAGCAAGCCGTCAAGGTCAAGCAACCCAAGGCCAATCCATTGGAAGGGGAGGTTTGTCGCAATTGAGCATCCCACAACGAGAGGAGCGATGTTTGGTGGCAACTTCCTCGGCTTTAAGTTTTCGACCGGGTTGGAAAGAGGCAATACCCAGGTTCCTAGTGCCGGAGAGGTTCCAAGGGCTAGGCCTGGAAATGCCCATTTACCCTGACTTTACCTTCAAGGTATAAGACGCCCAAGTCATCCAGGTAAGTCTGAATGTCCGCTTCTTCGGCGAGAAGTCTTTAGGCAATCCATACGATTGGGCGAGGCAATGGTACACGCACATTAACGGTGATCAGGACCATTTCCCCGTAGTTTGGTTCAAAATGGTGCAAGACCTTAGAGACAGCCGGTATGAGAAGCTGAGAATTGGCTACTTCGACAATGTCTAGTACGTTCTAACAGCAGACATAGGTGTCGAAGAGCAGCTGCACACTGCCGGACCTGGTAATATGCCTTGGGATATCCAAGCCCCCGGTTCAGGGCAAGAACTCATGCAACCTTAAAGTTGCGGACCTCATTTACACTACTCGAACGGTGCGGGAAGCTTTCCATGGGCTCGGGCTTACCCTGACGGTTAACATCACCTTGAAATGCCCTCATAACAACACCCGTCACCCCCCCCCCCCCCCCCCGGGTTACGCATCATAACCCCTGATTTGCGGTAACGCGCCGTAAAATCGTCGCCCGGTCCAAGACCTATCTCCTTTAGGTTCCTGGCGGCACCTTGCAGGACAGGAATCCTGTATATAATGCCGTCTTCTCTCCCCCTAGAAGCAGTTCGTCTTCTCATCTCATCCATCATCCACTTCTCTCTGCAGTCTACACATTGCTTTTCAGCCACTCTTACTCTACTCTTGCACGATTCTGAACTCCAAGCAGTCTCGTCGCATTACTTGCTGGTCTAGCTACTTCTGTTCATCAGAGTACCTACTTACCTTTCATTTCTACACCACATCCTCAGTTGTCTTTTTACAATGTCTTCTTTCACTCAGTCAACTGTTTCTCCCATCATGGCGTCAGAGCAGCTTGTCAAGAAGATGTTGGGCGCAGATGTAACCTTTGGCCCTGGTCTGGAGGTTCAGGATATCGTCATTCCTCCCACCACTCTCTCCGGGAGCATCCCCTATCTCGCCAGCTTCCACGAACACACATACTCCTCTGTGATGCTGGCCAACATTGTCAGACTCCACTGGCGCAACCCCACTGCAACGGCCATGCTCACGTATAGTGACGCCTCCAAGTGCCGCGAGGTTGTCCGCCGCTTCAACGACGGAGAAGCTGGAGTCTGCGGGAATTATGTTCAGGCGACGTTCCTTACCGGCCAGCGCGGTCCACAGCTTCAGCTCACCAGACTTCCTCTCAAGGCAACCAAGTCGGACATCACCCATGATCTCCCAGCGTCGCTCTATCCCAGCTGCACCTTCATTTGGGGTTCCAACGCCAAGCTCGCGCCAGCAGCTCAGCTCCAAACCATCAAGGACTTGTTCTCTACCCACGGCACCATCATCGTAGAGGACCGGATCAGAGATCACGGCGACGAATCTTCCGTCAGACTTATCTGCGACGAGGAATCCGACGCGAGACGGATAGTCAAAGAGCTCAACAACACGGTCCAGAAGTCTGCTGGTATCAGTCAGTTGTTTGCAGACATCTGCTTCAACCTGGAGTACTGCTTCCCAGCAAAGTGGCTAGATCACATGAAAAAGACAAGAATCATCCACCCCACCGACGGATGGTCCGACACTATCGACAGAGGGGTCGCATCCATCCGATTCATCTCCGCGATCAAGGAATCCATCCTCTTCAGGAGAGAGCTTATGGACTTGGTCATGCGCGTATACATGGACTCTTACGGGGACAACTGGGATTCCTACAACTTTGCGGAAGGACGGATGAGAGACTGCACCGACCGCGAGTGTGCCATTTGCTTCTGCCCTCCAGAGCAAACAGTACGGACCAGCTGCGCCCACATCTACTGCGCTGGGTGCTACGAGCACACAGTCTCCTCAACCGCAAAGTCCTCAAGCGAGAACGGCATCAAGTGCTTCGGCGACTCTGGCAAGTGCGGCAAGCCCATCACACTCCCAGAGCTCGACTCCCACTTGGGCTACCAGGGCGTGGACAAGCTCATCGAGCGTTCTCTGAGCTCCTACCTGCAAGCCAACACCGCCACCTACCACTGCTGTCCCACTCCGCATTGCGAGCAACTCTACAAGGTCACTCCCATGGCGGCAGACAACAAGGGCACCATCCAGCGCTGCATTGGCTGTCTTGAGATCCTCTGCACATCTTGCCACATGCCACACGACGACGACGTCACGTGTGACAAGGCGGAGGACCACGTCAATGCTGAGCTCTTCAAGGGTCTCAACATCAAGCCGTGCCCCAAGTGCAAGACGCCTGTCGACCGCTACGAAGGGTGTAATCACCTGGAGTGCAAGTGCGGTGCCCACGTCTGCTGGCACTGCATGGCGGTGTTCGACAACTCTGGCGACTGCTACAAGCACATGACGGATGCCCACAATAGCATCTATGCGGGGCAGGCTCTCTATGATGCCTAGAGGAGGACGGATGGACGAGATCTGATGGGTAGCAGCTTGTGCCTGCACATCAGGGTTTGGTTGAATGAGTTGGGTTTCATTTCACTGATTGGGGGTCACTACTATTACCACTTCTGAGTGCTATTGGCGTTTACATGGTTTGTTTGCTTTGGATTATGGGAGCATCGTATAGCCTTAGATTGCTGTTAGACACAAGATGTCTAGACTTGTTGACGACCAGTCATAAAATAACTAGGCGTATCACTATCAGCCATAGAGTGGCTTGACGTATCATTACTACCACTCCATACATTAATTGAAATGAAACCCTTGCCCACAAACAAGATCTCTCTGTGACACGCAACCAGTTACGTGAGCCCTCCTATCAGTAGTGAATGTTCCTCGCAGTGTACAGTTTTCGAACTAGAGATTAGTAGCTTTTCAGTCTCACGAATGAGACGCCGGGATCACTCGAATAGGTCGAGGTTTTCATTTGCCTTGGAGATTATACACAGTGATTTGCCTTGGCGTCTGTCAAAAGATTGGCTTAGTAGGCATTCCTCTTCTGCCGCCTCACACAGAGACACCCATCAAGAAGACACTGCAGGCGTGAGGACCATGAAGTCTGTACATCATCATATCATTCTCATTTTCTTCCGGATAACACCATCTCACAATGCGCATCTCAGCCCTATCCTCATCGTAGCAACAGTGTCTACATAAGAAGCGCTCCCCCAATGATGGAGCTTGCCGTCGACCGGTGAGCCTCGGCTAGGCCCTCCTCCCACCCGCGCCACCTTGTACCCCCCTTTTTTCAAAGTCTTACAAGCATGAAGTCTTGCTCGTGAATTCAATCAGCCCACTCATCATCGATAACACGCCTTCAGCCTCGATAAGAGCTCTTACGTCTGGCGTCTCCAAAGCGGGACAACTTCACAGTGCGCAGGTAAAGCAGCCAGGGGAAGTTCCCTCACCCGGCCCTCATTCGCCCGAAGCCAACAACATAGCTCACGATGGCCTGATCACCCGAACACCGAGACAACAAAATTCTCACACATCATTCGACATCTGAACAAAGAATAACATTCCTTAATCCCTCCACGGAGTACCGGTGGTCACATAGCTACTCAATCAAGTGTAAATAATCCCGCCATCAACAATCTGCGTCTGCCCCGTAACATGATCACTATCCGGCCCCGCCAAAAAGCTCACCAGCTTCGCCACATCCTCCGGCACGCTCGTCCGCTTCTGCGCAATCAGCTCATTCGTGTACTTCTTGATGGTGTCCCCCTTCTTCGCGCCCGTCTTCTCGCCCAGCTTCTCGTCAATCAGGTCCCACATGGCCGTGCCGACGATGCCGGGCGCGTAGGCGTTGACGGTGATGTTGTGCTCTGCGTATTCCATGGCCGAGGCCTGGGTGAGGCCGCGGACGGCCCATTTGGAGGCCGAGTAATGCGAGAGCAGGGCGAAGGGTTTGAAGCCAACTATGGAGGAGCACTAGGGTGACATGTCAGTCTCGTCTGTGATTATGTCTGAGGGGGGCTTAATGGTGAGGGGAAAGAGGGCTTACACCGATGATCTTTCCGGGGCTTTCGGGCTTGCAGTTGCCCTGCTTGATGAGTTGTTTCGCGGCGGCTTGGTAGCAGTTCTGCACGCCAAAGACGTTGACGCGGAACATGTTTTCGAATTCTTCCTCGGTGAGGTCAAGGAGTGGCTTGACCTGTGCAATCCCCGCATTCGCGATCCTTCCCGTTGTCAGCAACCATCACTCTCTCATCTCAAAAAAGAAGCATGCTCCGCTCATGAACGAACTCAACGAGTAGACGAAAAGGCGGCTTACATGGTATTCAATGGCCCCAGCTCCCCAACAGTCTTATCAATCATGGCTTGCACCTCACTCAGCTTCCTCACATCGGCAGTCGCAACAACAGCCCGGCGTCCGAGGTCGCGGATCTGCTTGGCGACGTCGTGAGAGCCGGCCTCGTTGGCGGCGATGTCGTTTATGCAGACGTCGTAGCCGTCGCGGGCGATGCGGAGGGCGATGGCGCGGCCTATGCCCCGTGAAGAGCCCGTCACGATGGCGACGCGGCTGTGAATGGGTGTCAGTCACGACTTTGGCTTGTCTTGTTGGACCCATTGACGAATCATGTACACGGGTGAGTGTATCCGGGGATGTGAGATATCATTGTGTGTGAGAAGATGACGGACCTAGCTTGAGCCGCAGCTCTGGTTGCTCCTGCTAGTCCGCTCATATCTACTGAGGATGGATATATGCTCAAAATATTCTGATTGAGATCCAGTGAAACTATGGTTCAGATACAATGGAAAACGATACAATTGAAGTTCAATGCAAAGTGTCTTCCCCCTCCCTTATGAACAGGAACGAGACGATTAACCCCAAGCAAGACCCCGCAGCAACAGCTCACAACGCGGGGTCAAAGGAGACCGAGAAAGCTCCTCACGCTTTACTCCAAAGTCTCCAACGAAGCCGGAAATCATGTAACGATCCCTACGCCCGGCGAGAAGGATTCCCAAGCCCGGCCAAGCCAAGCACCAACACACGCGGAAAGGCGGAACCCCAGTGTCACAGTCTCAACCTTGTGGAATTGCTACTGTCTTGAAGGTGGATCTCCAAGGGCGGGGCACAGAGCTTCACAGTTGCCAGGGCAGTTCCCATCTGCAGGGCTGCAGCTTCCCCGGACACCGAAGCTCCTCGGATTGGGAAGCTTACCTAAGTGACCTTACCTAATAGGTCAAAGGAAGGTTCCCAAAACCCCGTGACCCGGCGCAGAAAATAGCGGGTTCACGTTGGAAAAGGATCTCCGAGCCGGCCGCCCCCGATTTGTCATGCACTCCACGTTTTCCGCCCCGAGCCACCGCCTCTGGTCCCTGGCCAAGTGGTGACTCTGACACTTTTTTTTTTTGCCGACCCTTCCTTAGGTGAGCAGTCCCAGAAACCCCCCGGGAGCTCCAGCGCAGGCGTGGCGACAACGGGATCCAATGGTTTGGAATCTGGCTGACGCAGGTGGCAGTGTAACCAACTTTATATACATAATCGCAATTGAATCCAAATCACATCGTAGTTTCTTCTTTTTGCAACATTGTATCTTGATCGTGTAATCAATCTTTGGAATCATCACTCCATTGAACGCATAAAAGACGTCCGAAACACCCGTCTAATCACCTTCCCATTACAACCAGCGCACCGCAAACCAGAAACCACCCCTCGCAATACCGCCCAAAAATCACGATTGCCCCCAAACGCAAACCCCACCACAAGCTCCAGCAGCTGCCCCTCCTCACCCTCGCCCTCACAATCCCCATCGTCCTCTTCCTCTTAACAACCTCCCTCCCACACAACCACCAGACAATGATCTCCTCCCTCCTAACCCGCCTAACCCGCCCCTTCACAACAACAACAAGCATGTCAATCACGCCCCCCGCCCCCATCTCCCTCCCGGAAGGCGCCCAAAAAGCCACCATCGCAGCAGGCTGCTTCTGGGGCGTAGAACACCTCTACCGCAAACACTTCGCCTCCAAGGGCCTCATCGACGCCCGCGTAGGCTACATCGGCGGCGACCTCTCCAACCCGACCTACCGCGCCGTCTGCGGCGGCGACACGGGCCACGCCGAGGCCCTGCAGGTCGTCTTCAAGCCCGAAGAAGTGAGCTACCGCCAGCTCCTCGAGTTCTTCTACAAGATGCACGATCCAACGACGGCGAACCGCCAGGGTCCCGACACGGGTCCGCAGTACCGGAGCGCGATTTTCTACCACGATGAGGAGCAGGAGAAGATTGCCAAGGAGGTTACGCGGTTGGCGAATGAGCAGTGGTATAAGGGGGCTATCAAGACGCAGGTTGCGCCGGCGGGACAGTGGTGGGATGCGGAGGCGTATCACCAGTTGTATTTGGATAACAACCCAGGCGGGTATGAGTGTCCCAGTCACTTTTTGAGGACGTTTCCCCCGCTTGAGGGATGACTCCTTGACGGCGGCGGGGAAGTAAAGGAGGATGGAAGGGGTGATAAGATGGCGAAGAGGACGAGTAGGATGTAACGATATGGGGTTTCCTTTTCAACTTGAGGGAATCATAATGACGGATGGGATGAATCGGGTGGCTTTCTCTATTACGCACGTAGAGGCTCCGAGGCAATGAACAGCGCTCAACCGCTTTGATTTTAAAATTGTGTACCATCATGAGTGTGCATTTTGTAACTCCTGGCTTCATCATGGAACAGTAGTTGCATAGCCAGAATTTGAGGGGGCAAGTAGCTGTTGCACTATCTAACTGAGTCAAGATGCTGAGACTGTGACATGCTACTTTGTACGGATATATTGAGACACAAACATATCAGGGTGCAGGTGTGGTGGGACATTTAGTTGACCGAATTTAGAATTTTTATTTATTCTGGTATTGTACAACATAAAAAAACCAACTCCGAGCCCGTAGGTCTCTTTGGAGTCGTATCATGAGAGGGGTTCTCGAGCCTCTGTTTTCCGCCCGCCGTGGGGTATATACACCATCCCACTGGCGGGATCCCATTATCCTATCCTCCACTGCTGCTACAATTCAAGTCCAACTCATCTTCACTTCCTGCGGTTCTGCTGCATCATCAGAATCTGCACCATACGGACAAAAATGTTGATAAAGTCAAGCTCAAGCGCAATGCTCTCGTTGACAGCATCCTTGCGAATGATGCCGCGCTCAGCAAGACGGGCGTGGTGCAGGATCTTCTGGACGTCGTAGAGGGTGAAGCCGCCAAAGACGGCGAGACCGCCGTACAGCGAGATGCTCTCAGTCAGGGCGAGGGTGCGGACGGCGGTGACCGGCAGCAGCATGGGCGCGAAGCTGGAGGCAACGACGACGCCGAGGCCGGCGAGGAGGGGACCACCGATGTAGAGGTACTTGTCCTGCTTGGCGGTGGCACCGACGATGGAGAGGGAGCCCATCATGGCGACGGTGTAGAGACCTGCGCGGGCGAGGAGGGCGCCGGGGACCATTGTCAGGAGGGGGGCGATCATG